GCCACTTATCATCTTCAGCCTGCCACCTGCCCTCGCGTTCATATTGTGCTTTCCTGGACTCTGACATTGCTTGCCTCCATGCATTCTGCTGGGATCTTTCAGTGTGGGAGGACTGCATGAGCTCAGAGAACATTTCATCGCGAGTGCGTTGTTTTTTTTGTTTTTTTGCCTTCTAATCTTTGCTAGCCTCTGGGCTAGAGATGATAGTGTGAGCGTTGAAACATTTGCAGCTGCAGGAGGGGAAAAAACGGAGAGTAGTAGTTAAAAAGACACCTTTTAAGAGAATAATGGGTAGACTCTTTCACGGTAAACCTTCCTGTTAACATTACATAGCACGTGTGCTTTCAGTACAAGGTCACATTTTGCCTCTTATATTGAGGGTCTGCCGGTTTGGTGTGAGAGATCACACATGCAGGGCCGGGCAACAGAATTCGGCTTGCAGGCAGCCATGGTAAGCCACAGTCTTTTGCCTTCTTTAACTTTCATAACATGTGGGAATGGCTTCAAACAGCAGTGCCCTCATTTCCCATACCAAGCAGCCATTGGGTTGGCCATTTAAAATGGGTTGGCAATTTAAAAGGAGAGTGCGGTTTTCAAGTTAACGTGCAGCCCAAACCCAACTAACCCCCCTCCCCCGCCCCCCAGACACCCAATTCTCTGGGATGATCGCTTCACTCCTCCCCCCACCATGTGGCTAACAGCAGGGAAGATTTCTGTTCAGCCAAAGGCACACAGCCCAGCAGGAACGTCCACTCCCCCCCCCAATTCTCTGGGATGATCGCTTCTCCCCTACCCCCACCATGTGGATAACAGCGGGGAATATTTCTTTTCAGCCACAGGCAAACAGCCCAGCAGGAACGGCCACCGCTGAATGTCCCCTTAATAAAATTACCCTGTTTCAACCAGATGACTATGAGGAGTGACCATCCAGGAGAGCTTTATGGAGATGTCCCTGGAGGATTTCCGCTCCATCCCCAGACACATTAACAGACTTTATTCCAGTAGCTGTACTGGCCGCGAATGCATCCCAAGTCTTGAGGGCAAATTAATCATTAAACACGCTTGCTTTTAAACCATGTATTATATTTACAAAGGTACACTCACCAGAGCTCCCTTCTCCGCCTGGCGTGTCTGGGAGCCTGCCTTGAGTGGGTTTGGGGGGTACTGACTCCAGGTCCAGGGTGACCTGGCTCTCGAGGAAAACTGTTTTTCCTCTTGCTTGCTGTGCACTATCTTCAACCACCTCCTCCTCCTCATCTTCCTCGTCCCCAAAATGTGCATCCCCGTTGTGTGATAATCCATTGACGGAGTCAAAGCACAAGGGTGGGGTAGTGGTGACTGCACCCCCTAGAATGGCATGCAGCTCATCATAGAAGCGGCATGTCTGGGGCTCTGACCCCGAGCGGCCGTTTGCCTTTCTGGTTTTTGGTAGGCTTGCCTGAGCTCCTTAAGTTTCACGCAATACTGCTGTGGATCCCTGTTATAGCCTCTGTCCTTCGTGCCCTTGGAGATTTTTTCAAATGTTTGGGCATTTCGTCTTTTGGAACAGAGTTCTGATAGCACGGATTCATCTCCCTATACAGTGATCAGATCCCATACCGTCCGTTCGGTCCATGCTGGAGCTCTTTTGCGATTCTGGGACTCCATCATGGTCACCTCTGCTGATGAGATCTGCACTCACCTGCAGCTTGCCACGCTGACCAAACAGGAAATGAGATTTAAAAGTTCGTGGGCCTTTTCCTGTCTACCTGGCCAATGCATCTGAGTTGAGAGCTCTGTCCAGAGCGGTCACAATGGAGCACTCTGGTATAGCTCCCGGAGGCCAATACCGTCAAATTGCAACCACACTACCCCAAATTCGACCCGGGAAGGTCGATTTCAGTGCTAATCCCCTCGTTGGGGGAAGAGTACAGAAATTGATTTTTAAGAGCCCTTTAAGTCGAAAAAAAGGCTTCGTCGTGTGGACAAGGGCAGGGTTAAATTGATCTAACATCGCTAAATTCGACCTCAACTCCTAGTGTAGACCAGGGCTTAGTAACAGTGAAACACTGTATCCTGGCATCTGTGTCAGGGTGGAGGGTTTTTTTTGTGTCATGTCACAACCTTAAAAGTCAGTGGGAGTTGATGGCACTCAGCATCTCATTGGATCAGACTCTTAGGGTCAAATTCTCTCTTCTACAAAACTGCCCAGATCCATCCAAGCTGCTCAGGATAGGCACTAGTCAAAGGATTTGGACCTTTTAAAAATGTGTTTAAATGCTTTTCTTTTAAAATTTTCTTCTTCTTTCTTTCAGAAAGTTATAAAGCTCCTAGTAAAGCAGAATGACAGAAGTGGTACATTGAGTAAATTCATAGGTATGTTTTTGGGGGAATAGAAAGAGGCTCAGAAGTTTGAGGACATTCATTCAAGCCTTGATTCAGCAGAGCTCTTAAGCAGGTACTTAACTTTAAGAATATGTACTTAAGTCCCATTGACTTCAGTATGACCTAAATCTGTGCTTAAGTGCTTTGCTGAATCAGGGCCTTACTGTAATAAGAAGTGGACCGTCACCAAATTGATTGACTTCATGTGACAACTGATTCAGGTACTCTACGGGAATGGTATTTGCATACATAATGTCAGGAACTGGGCCTAAATAGATCAGTAAATATTTTGGAGGTGGGTTAACATCAATTTAGTCATTTTAGATGTTAAGAAAAACGTATGTTAGTGTGTGATAAGTTTAGGATTATTATTTTACTATTTACAAGGAATAACAATGTTTGAACAAAGGATAATTTTTTCTGCAGGTCACCACTGAGCATATTATTCTTAGAATAAAAATAGTTCTTCAGGTCATTCAGCCCTGGTCTACACTAGGAGTTGAAGTCGAATTTAGCAGCATTAAATCGATTTAACCCTGCACCCGTCCACACGACGAAGCCCTTTTTTTCGACTTAAAGGGTTCTTAAAATTGATTTCCTTACTCCACCCCCAACAAGGGGATTAGTGCTGAAATCGGCCTTGCCGGGTCAAATCTGGGGTACTGTGGATGCAATTAGACAGTATTGGCCTGCGGGAGCTATCCCAGAGTGCTCCATTGTGACCTCTCTGGACAGCACTCAACTCAGATGCACTGGCCAGGTAGACAGGAAAAGGCCCGCGAACTTTTGAATTTCAATTTCCTGTTTGGCCAGCATGGCAAGCTGCAGATGAGTGCAGAGCTCATCAGCAGAGGTGACCATGTAGCGCTCATCAGCAGAGGTGACCCTGATGGTGTCCCAGAATCGCAAAAGAGCTCCAGCATGGACCGAACGGGAGGTACGGGATCTGATCGCTGTACAGGGAAAGGAATCTGTGCTATCAGAACTCCATTCCAGTTTTTGAAATGCCAAACATTTGTCAAAATCTCCCAGGGCATGAAGGACAGAGGCCATAACAGGGACCCGAAGCAGTGCCGCATGAAACTTAAGGAGCTGAGGTAAGCCTACCAGAAAACCAGAGAGGCAAACGGCCGCTCCGGGTCAGAGCCCCAAACATGCCACTTCTATGATGAGCTGCATGCCATTTTAGGGGGGTCAGCCACCACTACCCCAGCCGTGTTGTTTGACTCCTTCAATGGAGATGGAGGTAACACGGAAGCAGGTTTTGGGGACGAGGAAGATAGTTCACAGCAAGCAAGTGGAGAAACCGGTTTTTCCGACAGCCAGGAACAGTTTCTCGCTCTGGACCTGGAGCCAGTACCCCCTGAACCCACCCAAGGCTGCCTCCCAGACCCGCCAGGCAGAGAAGGGACCTCTGGTGAGTGTACCTTTTAAAATAGTATACATGGTTTAATAGCAAGCATGTTTAAAGATTAATCTGCTCACCATAAGATGGTACAATAGGACTGCCTGCAGGACTAAAGAGAATAACCTGGTCGAGTCACTCCAAATTTAGTCCCTGCGCCCATGTCTGCCTAGGTGCTCCTGACCAACCTTACCGAGGCGGCCAGGAGCACCTTGGACACGATGAAGATGGTGTTCAGGCCTATTGCACCATGTGCTGCCACAAGGCAATGGATTGCTGCTGCTGTGTAGCAATGCAGTACCGCATCTGCCAGCACCCAGGAGACATATGGTGACAGTGAGCTGAGCAGGCTCCATGCTTGCCGTGGTATGGCGTCTGCACAGGTAACTCAGGAAAAAAGGTGTGAAACAATTGTCTGCCATTGCTTTCACAGAGGGAGGAAGGAGGGAGGGAAGGCCTGATGACATGTACCCAGAACCACCCGCGACAATGTTTTTTGCCCCATCAGGCATTGGGTTCTCAACTCAGAATTCCAATGGGCAGTGGAGACTGCGGGAACTGTGGGATAGCTACCCACAGTGCAACGCTCCGGAAGTCAACGCTAGCCTCGGTACTGTGGAAGCACTGCGCCGAGTTAATGCACTTAGAGCATTTTGTGTGGGGACACACACAATCAACTATATAAAAACGATTTCTAAAAAAACGACTTCTATAAATTCAACCTAATTTCATAGTGTTGACATACCCTCAGTGACCTGACCATACCAATCATGTAGATAAGCAAAATACCAATGATTGATTGGAAGAGATTGCAAAACCAGTTCTATAAAGGATTACAATAGCAGTATCCTATCTAGTTTCAGAAAAAAATTGATATGAGTGAATTGTAATTTTCTCATCTAATGAGTATTGAATATTTGAAGGCAATTATATTCTGTTAATGCTAATTATTTTGGGTTTTTTTTTTTTTTTTTTTTTTTGGATTATTGAATCCAAAATCCTCCTGTTCCATCAAAAAGTCACATAGGAATCCAAATATACTCCTACTTAAGTCAATGGGAGCAGGATTGGAGCCACAATTGTGCCTTTTATTAGTTTTATTGGTTTCCAAGAAGTTAAAACAAAAAAAGTCTTTAAATACATTTTTAAAAACAATGAAGTGTTTATATAAGACTGTACAGATCAGTACTGAACACCAATTAGTGTCGAGTTTCTTTTCTTTCCCTATCAGACAGAGCACATGTTGCTGACTGACCATGGGGCAAAGCTTTTTGCCAAGGCCATGGGTGTTCCTGAGATTCCAGGGGAGAAACTTATAACAGAAAGATCCAGGGAGAGATGGAGCAAGAACCTTGAGCCAGATTCTAACCCTCAGGAGTTTAAAAAGTAGGTACTGCACAAAAAATGTTACACTCTAATGCCTCTCATACACTCAGTTTGTGGTGTCAGTAAGTGCTTTCCTTAACTAGCAACCATGCAGACTCGCTATGGGATCTGAAAGTAGTTCCTTGGGCTTAGTTCTGCCCTGACATATACATGTGCTTCCACGTGGTTTTCAAATTATGCCCTCCATGATATGTGGGCAACCTTCAGTAGGCTTGCTCAAGTGTAACTGAAGAAATTTGGGAAACAATCCTATTGATGCTGAAGAAGGAAGAGAATCCAGCTCATGCTCACTTAGCAGTATGGGCCCTCCACCATAGGCAGGTGGCAAAAAAATATTTCAACTGAAGTTAGCAGATAGTCCTGAATAAAAACACTGAGTAGATCTGGTGAGCAAGGAAGTGCTATCTCTATAGAGTCACTCTCCAAAGGAGAGCTGCGGTTTAAATGGGGCACTGTCTCCACTGCTAAACCAACAGCTAGACCCTGGCAGAACATACATATCTATCCATAAGTCTGCATAACCAACATAGACTGGGATTTGTTTAAACTGGATCAAACCATTAATTTCTCATCTACCAAATTTTGGCTCATAGCTCCCCTCTTCAGGGGTTGGCAGTGGTACTTGGTCACTGAGAAAACAAGCACACCAGAAAATGTGGTGGTTAAAAATGCACTGCTAAAATAACCTAAAAACCAAGTTCTGGGTGGGATGGAGGAGAAAAACAAAGCCATTAGCAGAGAGAAAGGGTAGGAGACAGCAGCAGAATGAAGGACATTTGAAAGAAAGAAACTTTTTGTAATAAAATAGGGGGTGGGGGAAAAAACAGTAGGGAGAATAACCAACTATCAAAATGACTGACCTTTTCAGTGGGGAGTGGGGTTTAATAATACTAACTGTTTGTTTGAGCTTCAATCTTGTGACAGTGGAAGGGGGCAAAAACTCTTTAATAGAAAGACCATATATTATGTATTGTTTACTTAGCTATTTTATTAAGTAGTATGACACAAGGTACATCTCACAGGTCAGCCAACCTCTTGCTGTAGACAAGGTGAGGATATATTCTTAACGAATTACAACCATGCAACAGCATGGACTTTCAGCTACTAGTTAAGGGGTAACAGACCACGAATCCTAGTGAGGCTTCCACCTGGTGATCTTCTAAATCGAAAGACCTCTCAACCATTCTTGTAGCTGTTTTACTCACTTTGCACTGACTCAGACTTCAGAGTGGTGTAGGTGGTCACTATGTATGCTGGTTGTGTTGCTTGAGGTCTCAGGGGTTGTGCTGGGAGATGCGTTGATTTGTGGGGTGGCAAGTGAAGGGTGTGCACTGAACTAAGGGATTGTGTATGTATTTGGGATTATGTGTGCTGGTTGTATTGGGTGGGTGGTTTGGAAGGACTGTGGCAGCTGGGCCAAGTAATCTGTCATCTGTGCCATCTCCCTCATACAACCAATGCAACTGTTATATGTAAATTAGCTCTAGAGTAAGGGTGGATGAATGGTTGTTACCTCCAATATCACAGTGGTCTAGGACTCTTGGCATGGCATAGATACATGTCTTACCGTAGCCTGTACACCACATGGCTAAAGGGCTGAGAACATACAAACAGGATGGTAACTGACTTCAAAACTCAATGATGATTCAACATGGTGATATTAGAATTATAGAATCATAGAATATCAGGGTTGGAAGGGACCTCAGGAGGTCATCTAGTCCAACCCCCTGCTCAAAGCAGGACCAATCCCCAATTTTTGCCCCAGATCCCTAAATGGCCCCCTCAAGGATTGAACTCACAACCCTGGGTTTAGCAGGCCAATGCTCAAACCACTGAGCTATCCCTCCCCCCTAAATAAATATATTCTAAATAAAGAGTTCTCAGCCCTGCTTGTAGCTGTTTCTATCACTTCACACTAACTCAGACATTTTAGGCTTTAGAGCAGTGGTGAGCAACCTGCGGCCCGTGGGCTGCACGCAGCCCATCAGGGTGATCTGCTGGCGGGCTGTGAGGCAGTTTGTTTACGTTGACCGTCCACAGGCATGGCCGCCCGCAGCTCCCAGTGGCTGTGGTTCGCCATTCCCGGCCAATGGGAGCTGCGGGAAGCGACGCGTGCTGGTCAGTCTCAGGCGGGGGAGTGATGCAGGGCATTTTTAGGACCACTGCTATTTCTTACATTCAAAAAGATAAATGAATAATCATCACTAGGCTTCAGAGCTCTCATCCAATTGGAACAGTGGAGGCAGTTCCCACTTCTGAGTTTCTGTTTCCGGCTAATTCAGAGCTTCAGTAGGTCCCATCTGAAAAATTATCTTCACAGGAGGGCTAGGAATTTTTTTATTCTTTCCAGATGAAAGCTTTCATACCGTATCATATAAATTTATCATGGGGAAATCAAATAAATAGAGCAAACAGGCCAAGGGTTTGACATCTGTGCTATCAATTCTAAGGTTGATACTATGTCAGAATTGTAACATATTGCTTGTTATCTCAAATGGATAGTGGTTTTTCATAATGAAACTCCCTACATTAAAAAAAACAAACAAACAATTATATGAAAATTAAGTGATTCTGGCATGAGGCTAGATTAAAGTTAATGACATTCATTGTAGACTTCTGTTGTAATCTCACATTTGTAAAAGCTACCTGCAGAATGGACACAACATGCTTTGGCAAGTATTCTTAACCCTGCCTAATTCTGTGAAATACTATTCTTGGCAGAGACCCTGGAACAGTTGGTGCTGTTGCTATAGACAATGAAGGAAACGTAGCTTGTGCAACATCCACTGGGGGACTCACTAATAAACTGGTTGGCCGAGTCGGTGATTCAGCATGTATAGGTACGGGTAAATGAAATCAGTTAACGCTCACATTTTCGATGATTGAAATGAATATTTGACACTAGCTGATCTAGAATTGAGGCTTAAATTTAAATATACTAAAAAGAGTCAGTTTATCCTTTTAACGACTGCTCCTTCCACACAGCCAGAAGGCTGCAGGTGGGGGTAGATGTTTTGTATTTACTGTCCAGCTTTCTGGTATGTCTGAACAAACAGAAATAGGAGACACTCCCCCTTTTTCTGGAAACAGTATGGTCTGGGGTTTCCCTATCGTGTCCCTTCCCTTTATACTGTGATACTCGTATGCAAAAACCAAGAACTCTTCTGCTATATTCCCTTGCAACACAGACAAAATTGCAAACTGTTCCCCTTTAAGGCTCTATTAGTTGCTCAGATGGTGTTTAATCCAGATGTCTCCCAAAGAAAAGGGTCAAAATTAATGTGAAAAATTAACCAAATGCACCAGATTCTTCTCCCATTTATACCATTGTTTATCAGGTGGAAGTCCAATTGCAGTCATTGGAGTTTCATTAGAGCAATGAGAATTTGACTAGAAGTCTCTAACATGACTGGCAACTTAGTCACTCTTATTTAAAGCTTTGACTCTCTCAGTAAGTTCCTGTTCATAAAGAGCAATGGAAAGCATGGTGGTGGGAGCAGAATAGAATGTTCTAAGAGTTGTCTCATCCGTAGATAAAGAGTCTCTTTATCTTTCTCCAGTGAGTTCCTCGAATGGGACAGGCTTGTATTTGGTGATTGCTTCATAGGTCTTCCATGGAACCAGAAACTGGAAAAGCAATATTTTTAGAAAAACATGTTCCAAACTTGAACAGCACTCCTGCTGCCAGCAGCTGATTAGTAGACTCTGAGCCACCATTCCCTTACATCCAGAATTGCTGAGCTTGCAGGCAATTATGGTGCCCACTGACTATTTTCAGCATGGTTTGCAACTTGAGCATACATTGAACCAGCATGGTCCTCTGCTCACCCTAAATTGCCTTTTCCTTAACCTTTGTCTCATCCAAATTGTAGCAGCATGGCAAGAGCAGTGCCTCCTTGTGCACCGTTCAGACATGTTGATGCATGTAGGCAGCTGTAGGTCTTCTGGGGTTTGGGGGTGAGAGGCAGGAAAGGAGGCTTTCTACCTCTGACCTACCAGCTAGCTGTACTTTCAATCTTATCCTCCTCTGGGGTGGGTGGAGGGGCTCAGCCCCAAAAAGTTCCGAAACAAAAAGCAAACCCAACTCAATCATTGGCTGTCCCCCTGTCTTCCCTTTGGGCACCCCAGTCCTTCCCTTTGGGCTTGTCTCCCACAGTCTCTTACTCGCTCCTGGGATCTAACTGCTCCTCCCAGTGGCTGCTCCAGCTCGCAGGCCCATCTTTCCTTCTGTAACTTTGCAAGCAGAGTTCCCTTCAGGCAGAGAACTGTCCTCCTTTCTGACTGGCCATTCAATTGAGCCAGGCTCTCCTATTATTCCCCCTCCAGGCTTGGCATTGGCTACAGTTATAGCAAAAAGAAAAGGAGTACTTGTGGCACCTTAGAGACTAACAAATTTATTTGAGCATAAGCTTTCGTGAGCTACAGCTCACTTCATCGGATGCATGCAGTGGAAAATACAGTGGGGAGATTTATATACATAGAGAACATGAAACAATGGGTGCTACCATACACACTGTAACCAGAGTGATCACTTAAGATGAGCTGTTACCAGCTGGAGAGCGGGGTGGGGGAGGGAACCTTTTGTAGTGATAATCAAGGTGGGCCATTTCCAGCAGTTGACAAGAACAACTGAGGAACAGGGGGGGGTGGGGAGGGAGGATAAACATGGGGAACTAGTTTTACTTTGTGTAATGACCCATCCACTCCCAGTCTAGATTCAAGCCTAAGTTAATTGTATCCAGTTGGCAAATTAATTCCAATTCAGCAGTCTCTCGTTGGAGTCTGTTTTTGAAGTTTTTTTGTTGAGGAATTGCCACTTTTAGGTCTGTAATCGAGTGACCAGAGAGATTGAAGTGTTCTCCAACTGGTTTTTGAAGCATTCTTACAATTACAATGCCCATCTGCTGAAGTGAAGAAACAGACTGACAGAGCCAGAAGAGTACCCAGAAGTCAACTACTACAGGACAGGCCCAACAAAGAAAAGAACAGAACGCCACTAGCCATCACCTTCAGACCCAAACTAAAACCTCTCCAACGCATCATCAAGGATCTACAACCTATCCTGAAGGACAACCCATCACTCTCACAGATCTTGGGAGACAGGCCAGTCCTTGCTTACAGACAGCCCCCCAACCTGAAGCAAATACTCACCAGCAACCACACACCACACAACAGAACCACGAACCCAGGAACCTATCCTTGCAACAAAGCCCGTTGCCAACTGTGTCCACATATCTATTCAGGGGACGCCATCATAGGGCTTAATCACATCAGCCACCTTATCAGAGGCTCGTTCACCTGCACATCTACCATGTGATATATGCCATCATAGCAATGCCCCTCTGCCATGTACATTGGTCAGACTGGACATTCTCTACGTAAAAGAATAAATGGACACAAATCAGACGTCAAGAATTATAACATTCAAAAACCAGTTGGAGAACACTTCAGTCTCTCTGGTCACTCGATTACAGACCTAAAAGTGGCAATACTTCAACAAAAAATCTTCAAAAACAGACTCCAACGAGAGACTGCTGAATTGGAATTTAATTTGCAAACTGGATACAATTAACTTAGGCTTGAATAAAGGCTGGGAGTGGATGGGTCATTACAGAAGTAAAACTATTTCCCCATGTTTATCCCCCTCTCCCCACCCCCCACTGTTCCTCAGACGTTCTTGTCAACTGCTGGAAATGGCCCACCTTGATTATCACTGCAAAAGGTTCCCCGCACACCCCACTCTCCTGCTGGTAATAGCTCACCTTAAGTGATCACTCTGGTTACAGTGTGTTTGGTAACACCCATTGTTTCATGTTCTCTATGTATATAAATCTCCCCACTGTATTTTCCACTGACTGCATCTGATGAAGTGAGCTGTAGCTCACGAAAGCTTATGCTCAAATAAATTGTTAGTCTCTAAGGTGCCACAAGTACTCCTTTTCTTTTTGTGAATACAGAATAACACGGCTGCTACTCTCAAACCTGTCAGTTATAGCAAAGTGGCTGTCCTTAACCATGCTGGTGTAGGTCTTCTCTGCCCCGTCACATAGATCTTCAGGGCCCCTGCATTTTGGAGCTAGTGTTAGAAGAAAAAAAATGAAGCCGAGCACCATTCAGTGCAATACTAACTAGCTTGTTTCTTCCTAGTAATCAACAAGATAGTCACTTCTCAGATACTCCAAGGAACAAAACTCTTGTAACTATCCACACTCCTATTACGCATGCAGGGTTCTTGGGGGGTTGCAGAATAGAACATGGCAACATTTTCACTGCATAGGGAGGGAAGTTGAGTGTCCCTTTTTGGGTGGGAAGGAGGAAAACCTTTCACTCTCTGCTGCTCCCCATCCTAAACTCCATACTAACTGTAGTAATCCTGTCCTGTGCACCTTCAAAGGCCCATGGCAAATAACGACCTTAGCAGATACAGTGGAGATGACCAGCATAGCGAAGGGGAAGGGATAGAATGGTAGGGAAGGGAGCCAGTGGATAAGGGTCATGGAATGAAGTAGTGGTGATGATGGGAAGGGGGGTCAGCAGCATGAGAGCATTCTGCTTCTCCTGAGGACCTCAGGTTCATCACTCTATGCTGTGTAGGAGGTACATCAGGGCCCATCCCCCCACAAGTCTTTGGACGCTAGCTGGAGATTGATCTGCCTTAATTGTCTCAATGGGATTCCTCAAAATACACCTGCACTCACAAAGAGCCTTATTAAGCTTGGCAGATGTTAAAGCCTAAATAGGATTGCAGGAGGGGGAAAGATTTTGGTTGACCCCTGAACATCTTACGGCCTCTAACCAGTCTCCTAATGCTTGGCAAGGGTGATGTACTTACCCACATGAAGTCATTCTCCTATCTCTCCCCTGTGGTCTGCAGGAATAAGGCACCAAATGTGTGGCCCTCAAAGGGCCTGCAGGAGTTTCCTGTTCAAAAATATTGTCTACTAGAACTTTTTTCTCTCCAAGAGTATCATCGGTGTGTGGCCTTTTTAAGGTTCATTGTTCAGGGGGAGGCACAACATTAATAAGGAGGAGCATGCTTGAAACCATGTCTCTTCTGAATGCAAGATTTTTCTACTGGTTTGTTTTTTGTTTTTTTTTAATTCAAAGAATTTTAAAAGTATAAGCAACTGATAATTTGACTTAGTTACAGTGTCAGGAGCCATGGAAAACTATTAATTGCACGATTCATGAGCCCTAGATTGACTTTAAAAAGAATAGTACAGTGAGTGGTTGTTGTAGGTGAGAGTTGGGATATCAGGTGGCTGTAGGACCTTAACTTTGGTGCTGGTTCTAGTGACCCACAGAGAGGCACAAACATCTGTTGCTTAAATGATGGCACCTGCAGGATCCTCTGACATCAGCAGGTTTGTTGCACTCCTGAGTCAGTGCAGCCTTTTGACTTGGAAACATCTCTCCTGTTTGAGCTTTTCTCCCATGATCTGTCACAGTGGAATCTTAGTGCTGCTACCTGGTTGGCTCTTACCACCTCTCTGCTGCCCATTGGTCAGCACATTCCTGCAGTGCACCTCCCTAGCCAGTCAGTCATCAGTGCAAGTCCAGCTGCCTCACATCTTCCACTTCTGGCTTCCTATTTTCCCACCATCACCCTGCCTGCCTTTCCACCTTGTCTTCCCTGCATGCCTCTCCTCCATCTACCTGCTACTGATCTAGCTACTATGAATGCTCACTCCTTCCTATTCCAACATCAGACTCCCCACTATTCCTCCTTCCCCATTATGCCATTATCTTTCCAACCCTATAACTCGGCAACCAACCTCTTCCAACTGTGACTGACTTCTCACACAGTTGTTGAAACTTTGAGGAAGAAATCAGAGACAAAGATCTCAAATATGAACTTTCAGTTTTTTGACCCTAGAAGCAAACAGGACCTCCAGAACTTTAGAAATTGGCCTGTGATTTGAAATCATGCATTGCTTGTAAATCTCTTTTGCTCTAAAGCTTTAGTGCCATACTTTTTCTTTGAGCAGGAAGTGGAGGCTATGCTGATAACCATGTTGGTGCCACCTCTACCACAGGACATGGAGAAAGCATGATGAAAGTGGTCCTAGCCCGACTTATTCTCTATCATATGGAACAAGGTACAATCTAAAATTTCCAGTAAGATGAAGGAAAGTAAGACTGGAACTAACTGGTTTATGTAAATTATACTCTTAGCAATGCAGTTGCTGCCCTCTTTCCCCTCCCCCCCAAAAAAAAAAAGAAAAAAAAAAGCTTTCCTGGCCATTTATGGTTGGATTATCTCAAAACACACACAAAACAGCAGGACTAAAAGTGCAAACCAAATAAATTCCAACTGTATTCTTTGAATATCAAGTAGTGTGGATATTTTTGTTCCATCATGTTTTAGATACAGCATCGTAAAATATCATTATTCATATACATTATTTTATGTTTAACTGAAGCTTTCTTTACAATTTTAAGTAATTTCATTAGCAGAGAATTGGAAAAATGCAAATGTAAGCAAGTATTAGTTTAAAAAAAAAAGTACAAATAAAGCAAAGTGCAAAGCTTCCATAACACAAGAAGCTTAGAGACTCTATCGGCTATAACAATTCATAGGATTGAATTGCTTGTAGCAACAGAAATGTTACAACCTTTTTCTCTCTGTTCAAAAAGGAATTAATATGACTGCATTTTAGTTTTGTTTTGGAAAGTGTATTAAACTGTATGTTAAGTAGACTAGGTGCATATGTGGTAAACAGCTGGCATGGAGTGTCTCATCTGACTGTAACACAATCTAACTGTTGATGACTCTTTAAGCTTTACCTTCATCAGTTCGGATGTCATCCAAACCCTTGATTATATTACAGCCTGTAAACAGTCAGACAACATACTTGTACTGCATGCAGTTATAGAACCATTAATGTAGACATCACCACTATTTTTAGAAAGATACGGTTTGCAAGTATTAAAGAGCAATAACTTTTGAGACTCTTACCGGAATCTGAACTACAGTAAACCATTTTTCATTTACATTCCTGTTCATAAGAGAAATGTGAAACAAGAAGGCAAGTAGCAGCTGAGAAGATTTCTGTAACTGCTACATGTTTTGTGGTCCCAACATATGCTATTCATGGTTCATTCTTAGTAGAGCCAAGAGAAATTATCAGTGTAAAATATAATACTCCGTGCAGATTATTCCTCAAAGCCCTAACATGCCACAGCCCCACTCACTGTCCTGTTTCACTGGAGTTCATTCCTTTCATAAATGGCCTTCCAATCTTAAATTTACCATAAAGAATTGAGCCAGGTTCTTTTCTCACATACCCTGGTTTACATTGGAGTAACTCCATTGTTTTCAATGGAGTTACACCTGATTTACACCAGCCTGAGAGGAGAATCTCACTAAAACCCTTTTTAAACATTTCTAAATTTCTTAGTGTGTAGGATAAAACCATTGCTAGCTTGCCACTATTCAGCCTTCCCTGAAATGTTGAGGAGCAACCCATCTTTCAGGCAAAGACCCCAGCAAATGAGCAATTCCTCAGCATTTCAAGAGAGGGCCAAAACTCAGTCCTATAGTTATTGCTACTTTGAGCCCTTGAGCTGCCAACAGAAGCAGAATATTTAAGAACTGTAAAGTAAGCCTGCGCGCACACTTAGGGAAAAATTTTCAAAAGCGCCTAAGTGACTTAAGAGCCTAAATGTCATTGAAAGTCACAGTGTGATATAGGCTCCTAAATGCTTAATTTATTTTTGAAAATAGGATTTAGACTCCTAAAAATAGGAAACAAGTGACTTAGAATACCAGTGTTGCATATAATGCATCCATGAAGTGTTAAGAATGGCTGGCTTCTTCCTTAACATCTTTCATTTGGGGAGAGTCTTATTTCTGTTTCCTCGATATTTGAAGGAATGTTTGGAGCAGTGTGTTTAATTAGTTTCCTCCATTTTGCTGGGTGCCAAGTATTGCAGGTTCACGTAAATTCTTCTTGTCATGTATAATCTGTGACTTGTTTGGAAAAAATCTTTTAACAGCTATTGGAATTTCTGCCTTATGGTGGCAGCTGTTGCCTTGGTGAAAAGTCACAGGGTGAAATCCTGATCCTGTTGAAGACAGTGGCAAAACTCCCACTGACTTAGTAGTCAGGATTTTACCTCAGTAAATGGATTCCCTATCTTGCAGTGGCAAAGATTGTGAATAGTTTCTATTCTGTTTTTTTCACAGAAAGTTTGAAGGAGGGCTAATGCATATAGTCAGTAGTCACACACACCACGGACACGAACAATGTAACATCACAGCTGCTTTAGTTCACAGTATTAAGACCAGCACTACGGCATTTCTGGAGACAAATGAAAGGTTACAGCTTGTGAACAACTATAACTATTAACAGACTTCTGCATAGGACAAAATGTTCTTCAATTTGTTTATAAAATGCTCCAATTAATAGGGATTGAGTGTGGTAAAGGAACTTGGCTGTTGGTGTCATTAGTGCATAGTCCGGTAACAATATGAAGGCTGACACAAGCAGATCCTGCCCGACAGTGGCTGCACCCACAGTAGCATCAGCGTCCATATTACCAAAATTAATCACATACAGAATTCACACACTGAGCTCCTCAGGGTTCACTGGTTTAACTTTGTAGGGGTTCCCACAGTGCATTCTTTCTTAGGGACTCTTGGCTGGCTGGTTCTTGCTCACATGCTCAGGGTCTAACTGATCACCATATATGGGGTTGGGAAGGAATTTTCACCCAAGTCAGATAGGCAGTAACCTGGGGTGGGGGTTTGGGTTGCCTTCCTCTGCAGCCTGGGGGTGTAGGTCACTTGCCAGGATTATCTGGGTATATCTCAATCATTTCTCTGCCATTGTGAGGGGCCTCAGACATGGTGCACTTCAGTCCCTCCTATTCTCTGCCTGTGGCTCGTAATAGTCTAATCTTCTGAGGGCTGTGATACTTTCGTCTACTTCTGGTTGTTGGGTTTTGTGTGGGTGCTGGGGAGATTGGTGGCCTGTCATATACAGGAGGTCAGACTAGATGATCTAATGGTCCCTCCTGACTTTAAACTCTCACTCTGTGAATTATTGTGTGTGTTCAAGTCCTATTAGAAAGAAATTCCCTGGCAGACCACTGCTAGTGGCACTTTGCCAACAGTGACCACCACCACCCTTCAAAAAAGTCCCATTATGTGTCACTGAACTACAAAGTTCACCAGTTACGCTAAGTCAAAAAGACTGAAACCTCAGAATAATGGGAAGCTACATAAACCCTGTCTCTGCAGTTACTACAGCATAGAAGCTATTTGCAGTTGTTCACTTTCCTCCCATAAATGAAGCTTTTTCTAGCCATTGCACTTGTAACTTCTTGAGCATTCAGTAAAGGAAAGAAATACCAGAGGGCCTGGTTCTGCACAAAGTGAAGTCTGAAGAGAATTTTGTCATTGACTTAAATAGGACCAGAAGCAGATACTACATATCATCACTCTTCTGTGTTTTTGTTTTCAGGAATGTCACCGGCGGAGGCTGCTGACACTGCATTGAATTATATGAAAACCAGGGTGGGTGGATTAGGAGGTGTCATAGTTGTCAGCAATTCAGGGGACTGGGCAGCAAGATTCTCCACCAAGCAGATGTCTTGGGCTACAGTGAAGGATGACCAATTGCAGTATGGCATTTACACTGGGGAGATACATACGAGCTCTGTATGCAATTCTGGGGATGAAGAAAAGTGGACAGTACAGCAGGACAAAGATCTCAGTCTTCACGGGGTGCAGTAAAAATTGACGTTATCTTTCTGAAAAGATTTATCCTCTATTAAATGTTCCCAGAATGCACCACATTTTACAAGCAAACTGAAAGAGGTACTGGACTTAAAGATAATGGATGTGGATATGGTGATCGTTTTCAATGTCTCTAGAAAGCACCAGGGCTGGTATCCTCTTTTCAAAAACCAGATAGAGTACAGGTGTGTAAAAGGGCGTCCCCTCATGTCTGGGCCTAGCGCAGATGGCTCTCTTCTAGCACCCTCTGCCGACAGTTGCGCCAGCCCTGTAGCGGTCTGCCTCTTCTTGTGACTCAGCCTCTCCAGCCAGGTTCCATCCCTTCTAGGGTAGTGAAGTCCAACAGATATTCTAATGTCCTTACGAAAGGTCTTCAGCCCTGATTCTGGCCCCCTGTGGTCCTTAGAGCTGCTTATCTCAGGGCTGTCAAAAGTCCTTTTCCACTTATATCAGGGGCTTCATGCCACCTTCCCTGATGGCCAGCAGGGGAACACAGGTCCTCCCCCTACACTAGGTTCCAGTCCAAGGACCCTACAACCAGCAGCCAAAGTCTACCATGTCAGACTCCTTACTGCTGCCTCTTTGGACTTCTTCCTACCAAGTCTGTCAGCAGACCTCTCTCACAACCTCTATAAATTTACCCTCCTTTCAGGGTCAGAACTTCCCCCTGGAATCTGCCAGTAAATCTCATACCAAGTGTACAATTTAACCCATCTTCACTTTTCATGCCTCCTAAGTTTCCCTTATACAGTCCCTCAGTTAACCACCTGCCAGGGCTCTCTTTCAGGAAGTCCAGATCCTGTCTTTTATCAGAGCTCAGCCCATTGAAGCTTGTTTGGTCCTAGTGGCTGTACTGTGTCTCACCTGGCCTCTTGCTAGACTTCTCTACCCATAAGAGGGTCCCAGGGCCAACCTTCTTCCTAGACTTCCTCCTCAACCCTCAGGGTCTTGCTATTCTCTTGTACCTGAGGAGTGAATGCAGAATTCTTCTCTCTCCCTGAAGGTCCCCTCTTTCTTTTTCTTTCTGCTTCCTTTTTTATGGTGCAGCAGTCTCCACCTATGAGGCTATGACTGCCACCTACAGCAGTTTTTGTATAAGCAAAATCGATATCCTCTCACCCAGTACTGTATCCTTAAAAATCAAAGAAATTCTTTTTTAATACTACCCCACTTTCCAATCGTTTCAGACTATATTCTTTCACCTTGGGTGCGTCTCAGTTCTTCATATAGATTTTTTCTTTTTATGTAACTGCCCTTGCATTGCCACAGCAGATGCTTAACTGTTTCTTGGACTATAGGTGTCCATAACCCATTTTGTGCTTGTTTAGTAAATATAAATTACCATTCAGGTCAGAGTGACCTGTTAGCCCTCTAAATGTATAGCTACTTCACTTCTTCTATCATAGCTATTAAGTATACCAATATCATCAAGTTTAGGACATTTGTGATAGGACCCTTGTCCTTTTTTTCTCTTGGGTTCATAGTTCTTGACATTCCTTCTTAAGTTCTCTCTTAACCAAACTTTTGAAGTCCTGTATACTCAGAGGGCTCTTTATGTCAATCTCATTTTAAGGCATTTTTCACTGCTTTATCTGCCATTTTGGTGCCCAGTATCCCAGCAAGCACCAGAATCCACAATATTATGATAGGTATACCCAATTGTACTCTCTTTAGTTAAGAATAATTGATTGAACCAGTGCTGCTTTCCGAGGCTTCCTTTCTAATCACCATTATACTTGATATACCTGTCATAATGGCCACAAAATTGCATAGTCTCATAGGTCTCTTAATTCCAGATTCAGAGATACAAAAGTCCCTTCCAAAGCTGTGTTCTCATCTCTAGAGCAGTCAGTATAGATTTGGCAATGCTGACCCCATTTGCCATGTATAAACTCATAAATTATAGCCGTCGTATTTGATAGTCCTGCTCTTACCTTTGTTGTATCATATAATTTCAAATCCACACCTGGAGAGACAACCATCCAGCTACAGGTTGATTTCCCATGACTAAGATTTTTATTTCTTCCAGACCTTCCTTTTAACCCACCTTTTGACCCTGTTTTCAGGTGGGAGTTTGTGCCTACTTAATTCCCAACTGTCTCGTATATTTGTTTAGTACTCTTATCTTTGCTAGTTCCATTAACCTTCGCTGAAAAGGTTAAATCTAACAATTTCTACCTAAATTTATAGGCATTTCTTGGGTTGCTACCTGCAGCACACACGAGAGATTCCAGAGTTGTGATACTTGCACAACATGTGATTCCCAGAGCTTCGCTTGGATCTTGGGCTCTGACTTAAAAAAAAATTTTTTTAAGTGTTGTTTTAGAATTTGATTTAAAGTCTTGGTATCCATAATCTGTAAATGGTCTTATTAATGCCCTTTACAGCATCAACAGTTTGTTCTTATCTGCACCCCGAGTTGTTCCCAGCAATACTTGTAAGCAGATTCATCCTATCTTTATAGTTAATTCTGATATCACCATTATACTTGATATACCATATATCTGTAACCCTTCCAAGTTAGTTTATTGAACATAACTCCTAAGAATGTAACATTTTGAACTACCTGATTTTTTCTGAAAAGAGAGAGAGGTTCCATTCTTCCCCAGTCTTCCTTTTTGGTGAAGATCTTGCCCTTTTTGTTTGGGCAAGTGAGAACCTAAATCCCCAAGTATCTCCCCATTCTGAAATTCCCAAGTGCCTCATTGGTTCTCTCCACAGCTATCTTAAGTCTTCTATATTTGGCCCATATATCACAGTCATCCGCAAATAGACCAATACCTATTCCTGCCTGTATACTCCCCGGGAGAGCATTAATAATAATATTAAACACTGTTGGGCTGATAACACTCCCCTGTAAAATGCCATTAGTAAATTTATAAATATTTGACAAACTGCCCCCCCCCCCGACTTGCATGGTTCTACCACTTAAGCAATCTCTTATCCACCAAAACGTTGTTCCTCTTACTTCAACTGCGGCTAGTTTATACATCAAGCTTCCCTCCATAGCATGTCATACGTTTTTCGGTGTTCAAAAAGACAGCTATCAAAATCTGGTTTGTATTTGTTTCTAATCTTACAATATGATCAATTATGCATCTTCCTTTCCAGAAACCACTTTGTACACGGTTTATAATTTCATTTTTTCCAAGTACACTACTAATCTCTCATTTATCAGTCTTTTCATAATGTTGCCCACACAGGATGTCAGGGCAATAGATCCATATGCATGAGGTCTTTGCATAATTTGCCAGGTTTTCCTATCAATATAACTCCCGCTTAATTCCATTCTGCTGCCAGTATTCCTTTTCCCCATATTCTATAATTCAGTAAAACAAGTGCTCTTCCAGTAGGTGCTTAAGCATTGCCTTACATATGTTATCCTTACTTGGGATAGTGCATTTTTACTTTTGCCTGTAGCTTTTTTGAGTTCCTGTATGCTGAAATTTTCATTCAGTACATCATCTTTATATTCTACCCTGTCATGTAAGAGCTCACAATTTTCTTCAGCAAACATTTTTTGTTCACCAAACTCCTTTCTTTGATTTTTATCACTACTAACTTTTTGGAACTCTCTTGCTAAAATATTCATTTTTCCTAAGTTAGAAATGTCAACTTTATCATTTACTATAAGACCACGTATAAATTTTTGTTTTTACTCCATATCCCATTCATTCTTTTAAATTGTTTATTTCTCTCTGAAACCTTGGAATCGTTGTTCATTTTCCCACAATACTTTCTCCAGCTCTCTTGCATTTTTAATTCTTTGCACCACTGCTTTACATCTTTTATAGTTCATTAAGTCCTTGCTATTCATTGTACTTTTTGCTTGTTTGTATATATTTCTTTAATTGTTGCTTGACAACCTTCGTTCCACTAGGGAACTGGATATCTGAGTTTCTGGCAGTTTGGTGTCTTACATATAGCTAGGTTGGCTGCTGTTACAACTCCCTTTATTGTATTATCATGAAATTCCTCTAGATTATCACTTATACAATTGGATATTAGATATTCAGCACATTTACTGTTAGAGTCCCCAGTTTGCCTTTCTAAGGCTCTAGGTAGGAATTTCTTCAGTGTTTTCAACATTACCTTGGCCTCTTTATAGATTTCCCAGCTGCATTTACATTCTATATTGCTTGTTGCAATTCTCAGATCTAAACATACAAAGGCTCTATCCACAGAATTAAACCTACTAGGTGCTCCAGTATCGAGCAATACCAGGCTGTGCAGTTCAATGAATTGTTCCAGGCATTTGTCATTATAATCAGTTTTCCTGCTTCCTCATAATTCATTATGGCTATTAAAATCTCCACAAATAATATCCAGGCCTTTGACACCCTTAACTAACTCTTCCAATTCTAGATTGTCTAGGTTTTTTTTTAGATGGGTTGTGAATCTTAGTGGTTTGTATAAAGGCAGTGCTATTCTGCAGAGGAATCTCAACAGCATTGTACTCAAAACTTACGTTCTGTACATCTATGTCAATGTAACTAAGACCTTCCTTTAGAGCAGGAAGCGTCTTTATAGTTGTAGTTATTTCTCTGTCATGTCAGATTATATCGTATCCTGGAAGTCTAAACATAAGTTCTCACTAACCATGTTTCTTGTACATGTATCACATCAAGGATTTTTTTTTTCATTTAAAGTTTCCTTTAATACCTGACCATGTGTTATTAAACTACGTACCAGCAAAAAAAAATAAAATAAAAAAATTAGAAACACATTGCTTAAACTGCATTACTGTACCTTCATTTAAAATTGCATCAGTGTGTTCTATTGAGAGATGGCCTATATGTAAATACTGTTTTGCTACTTTTGGTATTCTTTCAGTCTTCTTTCCTGTCTGTAAAGTGCAATTATTCACTTCTGTCATAAATGCTATAAATTTCTCATTGTACTACTTGTAGGCATCTTCATCTGTCCCTCTTCCCCCCCCCCCCCCCTTATATTATCTTTCTGCCCTGGTGTTACGTGGTATTGTACTAATAGCACTCTTCCCTCAGTGGCATTTTCCCCCTTCTCCACATTCCACGCTGAATGTGTTTTAGAACTTCCACACAGAATATTTTATTTTTCTGCTCCAGACTTCCTGCATTTATAATCACCACTCATTTCCTTCCCCAGCTGGGCTTCATCTTTAATTAAGCCTAACCTACCCTCCTGGTGCAACCAGGTAGGTTGAAAGAAAAAGAGGACTTTTGGCACCTTAGAGACGAACAAATTTATTTGAGCATAAGCTTTCGTGAGCTACAACTCACTTTCAGAGACAGGATGGGGTATATACTTCATTGCAGGGCAGTAGCCATGTGTAAGTTTCTGCAGACTCCCAGTTAACATGCCTCAATGCTGTGCTAAAAAAGAAGCCATGAGTCATGACAAGAGAGTAGTTCATCTCCATCCCCAGTCTCGGAGACTGCCAGTACCATTGATGATGAAGTGAACACCTAACCACTAAAAACTGAGTTTTGACCACCTTTGAACACCCATCATACGGGTAACAACTGTTGGTTACTGCCAACTAAGTTTCTAAATACAATAGAAGCGTAAAAGCCTACCTTATTAGGCACCAGTTCCCAGACACTTTGCGGGAGGGGGAAAGAGAGAGAATGATGCAAAGGAACTGTAGTTCCCTGGTTTGGGGAAAAGCTAACAATAAGGAGCTTTAATTTACTTAATTCACACATGGTAAACCTGGAATTTAAAAAAAAAGAATCCACACTCTAAAACATTATACTTGTAGTTTGAACTGGGGGAATAACATTTTTGCAGTACTATGATAAAGATGAAAACGAAGCCTCATTAATAGTAAACATAACAGCATGCAATCTTCACTGCCTAGATAAGAAGTTGATAGGTACCCTTATCAATACATAGATGAGAAATTCATGATGATTAGCAGGAAAGTAGTTCTCTGAAGCAGTGAATTCATAAAAGCAGATTGTGCCACCACAAATGCAATTGTTTCTGTTAACAAACCTCCCTGATACAATGCTCATGCTTATTTGTACTGTGTCTAAAGCACTTGGTAAAGTTGGAAGGGCTTTAGACCACAGCGTTATCTTTACCTTGTTCCTACATAATTTTACCATATTAATCTGTTTGACAGTGTTTTTGTGAAGGAAAATAATCTTTTAGTAAGATTCTTTCATAACAAACCTTTATGTGATAATTTTTTCTATTAGCCACACCTATTGTGTATTATTACTGTATAATTTAATAACCAGTACATCTTTAGCCACTGCTATGACCCGTACTTTTTGTGAAATTAGATCAACTAATAGTATGGTAGCAAACATGTTCCCTTAAAAAATAACCACAATAAAAATAACACATCCTATGCTTTTTTTTTAAATTCTCTATGTCCATATCCTATCTACAGTAAGCAAGCCATGATGCTGAAGTGGCTTATACAGAATGGTAGGGTTGCCAATAGTATTTAGTATCCTTGGCACTTTAACCCCCATCTCAATAGGAGTTACAGATGAGTGGGGTCTAGTGGCATGTGGACAATTATGGGCCAAGGGTAGATATTCTTATGTACCAAATGTAATCTTGGAGCACTGATATACTTATTTGCTTGCGGGAGAGTATAGAATATCCCTGGGCATTATCAGCTGCTTGTGCAATTACAAAGGAGTTTAAGATGAGTCTGTTACAAGTCTAACCCTGTAGAAGCCCTTCTGTGGAAGCTCTATGGAGCTCTGCAGATTTAGGAGGAGCTCTGCTAGACTCAGCAACACTCCACCATCACCTTGACTGTACTTCTTCATTTTCAGATTTTTAATTAAGAAGAAACAATTTTGTGGAGCAGTATAGGGCTAGATTGTGACTTGGGCAACATGCCTATGCATGGGAGTAGAGAGGAATAACAACTCAGCCCTACATTACATGCCAAGGTTACATTTTGATCAGAGCTGCCATCTTAGAGAGGCTTTCCCAACTTTCCAGCCCATGGCCTTGGGGTGGAGAACACCAGAGATCTCCAGAGAACACAGGTCATTTAAAGTGCTGCAATGTGATGAACATCTGTCATGTGTAATTCATTCTCCCTCATTCCTCCCCTAGTGGAGGAAGTGTATGTGCAGTGAAGTGTTTTGATAGGGTTTTTAAAATATGCTGTGTGCTTAGATTACAGAAGGAAAGGTTGAAGAAGTGTAGCTTGCATTTGGAATGAAAGGGGGTGAGGTTTGGGATGGTCCTTAGACTGAGGAACAAACTCCACGCTATTCAAGGTTGACCCTGGTGAAAGCTCTCTCTCCTGCACAGACAAGGTTCACACTTGTGGTAGGAAGCTCTATTGTGCCTGATGAGTACAGTTGTTGACCACAGCCCTCATTCTGGAGCTTCAGACAATTAGGCTCAATTTAGGCAATTTTTAGTAGCCAAGCATTTCCAGTTTCCCTTCAACCCCAGTCCCTTCCTCACAGTCTCTTCTGCATCTCCTAGCATCCATCCTTGTGCCCAGTGTGCTGATCCAGGCTTTCTCCATTGGAGCTGGATTGCACCATCAAGCTGGTTGTAACTGGGCACCCAAACTGCTTCCTGGGCTGATCTCCCAGCTTTCATGTCACTCTAGTGTGGGAATGTTGACACTGCGCACTAAGCCCAGCCTCTGGCTCTGGTTTGAGCCCACGTACAAATTTGTGTGACTTGGGGCAGCAAGCACTCAGGACCCGGGTCCTGGGACCCTGCTGGGGAGGGGGGTGGTTCAGTGTCCAAGTCTCATTGTGACTCAGGTCAAAGCCCTGTCATTTTGCAGTGCAAACGCAGCCCAAACCACAGACCTCAGTCAGAAGGTCTGTCTAATGCAGTGTGGACATGTAAGAAGGCTGTGAGACCCGGGTCCAGCAATGGTAAGCTTTACAATGCACCATGGACACTCAAGCCTGGGCTTGGAAACACTGAGTCCACAAGCCGGGGTCCCACAGATCTGGGTTTACAATGCAGTGTAGACCTACCCTATGTGGCCTCTTGAACCACCAGCAGCACTAGAACATGGACCTGGGGCTTTCTTCAAGCCAACCAATTGGTCTGGATCTGACCAGGTGTTCCATAACTAATCACCTATCTGTAAGGGGACTGTTGCCCCCTTACTAACATTCAGTGGGGGAGTTTTAGTTGCTAGCTCCCAGTACTAAAAGGGGGACAGGTCAATGTGGAATCAAAACCCTGAGACTGACAGACCCTAGGAACAATGGGGAGAGGTCAATGCTCCTGAATGACAGGGCAGGCTGGCTAATCAGGGAGTCAGGAGGCCAGGGAGGTCCCGTCCTCTGTGTGAGCTGGAATTGCCTGGGTCAGACAGAGTGGGGCCAAGCTAAGGAGAAAGCAGGGGCCCAAGCTAAGCTGGGGAGCAGAGCTGGGCCAGATCCAGAGAGAGCAGACCCTGTCCTGGGAGCAGAGCTGCAGCCCCAAAGCCAGAGGCACAGCCCAGAGAGAGCAGACGTGCCCTGGGAGCAGAGCTGCAGCAAGCAGAGCCAGAGGGGCCAGAAAAGCAGCCCAGGAAGCAGGTCAGTGCTGGGAGCAGAGTCACAGAAATAGCCTGCAGAGCAGACCCGTCCTGGGAGCAGAGCTGTAGCAACCAGAGCCAGAGGGGCCAGAGAAGCAGCCAAGGGAGCTGGAGGCAGAACAGCAGCCATGCTGAGGCAGAGTGGAGCTAAGACAGAGTGGAGCTGGAGCTGGAGCTGGGGCTGGAGCAGTCTGGAGCCGGGTGTCATGAGCAGCTGAGGAGAGCGAGGGGGGACCCTGGGCAGTGGGCCCAGCACAGGGAGACGCCTCAGCCAAGAGGCTCTGCAGGCCAGACTTGGAGGGTGATTGGTAACCCCGACAGGGCGGGGGCAACGCTGGGAAGAAGGGCCCTGCCACCTAGAGCCTGAGAGCGTGTGGCCACCACCAGAGCGAATGTCCAACCCACAGCATCCCTGCAGCACAGCCAGAGCCTGAGAAGGAGGCCTGGGACTTACAAGGGACAGACTGTGAACTGCCCTGACATTCCAGAGACACTGTTTGTGATGTTCCCTGCCGCAGAGCGGGGTGATGTGTTTCCTTTAACCTTTCCTATTTTCCCTTATTCTTTTTAAAATTAATTGTTGATAAAATAACTTGCATTTGCTTCAAATTGTATGTAATGATCAGTGGGTCAGAGAAGTGCCCAGTTCAGAGAGAGTACCCCGGAGTGGGGACACCCTAGCCCCTGTCCTAGGAGACCACAGCAGGGTTGTCGGTTGAGCTCCCCAGGAATCCTGGGCCCAGCCTTGTTGGGGTTACGAGGACTCTGCTAGACAGGAGAGTCGAAGGGGAGTCCTCAAGGGCAGGGAGGCCACTGAGTAAAGGAAGTGGGAGCGAGGACTCAGATCCTTTCGCTAGCCCACTTCACCGGGCAGAAGCCAGGAAAGTTCCTCACAACAGCAGGACAGTTCCCCCGCTTACATATCTCCACTAGAACAGAGCTACACTCCTCTCTGAAGCAACATTCCCCTCTTCTAATGGGAAGGGAGCTGGCAGCAGGAAGTCGGGAGTAGGGCTTCCTGTTAGCTCTCTAGTAAATCAGGGCTCTGGGGATGGAGAGGCCAATGCCTCCTCTCTTCCCACCCCCTAATCATCGAGCATTTGTGGGGATGTAGGCCTAGTCATCTGACAGCAGTGCTGCTGGCAATGTGGAGTGTGGGCTCAGCAGTGGGCTGCCTGCTTCTTGAGTCTGGACACACAACTGCATTGCCTGCTCAAATCTCCCCCTTAGCTCCAGACGTACACAATCCTTTGTTCAGGGCTGTACCCGTAGACACTATCTGGTCTTTGATGATTATGATTAAGAGTCTTCATAGTCACAGGTTTCCTGCCCCAAAGAGGTTCCATTCTGAAAAAACAACGTAGAAATAAAAGATCATAGGAGGTAACAAA